GTGTGTGTGTGTGTGTGTGCGTGTGTGAGAGAGAGAAAGTGTGTGTGTGTGTGTCTGTATGTGTGTGTCTGTGTGTGTGTGTGTGTGTCTTCATCACAGCTCTCCATCCTCAGGCACCACTTATGTGTGAGATGGCCTTTTAAAGATAGTTAGTTACATCATAACTAGTGCTGTCAGTTGACTAATTTTCTCAAATGAATTAACTACCACTCTGATGGGAGCCTGATGGGAGCCTTTTTTGTAATGAATTTTACAAACAAATACAAACATTTTTATTGTTTTATTGTTGTTTATCTTATATTTTATTATATTTTTTTATATTTATGTTTTATTACTTTTCTGTTTTCTTTGTATTTAATTTTAATTTTTCGTTCAGCCTGTTTGTTTATTTTATATTATTATTTTACATTATATTTTTTATGGTATTTTATTTATTTAATTATAATTTTAATTTATTATTTGATTTGATTTGATCTTTGTTTTCTGTGTGTATGTAATTATTAATGTAGTTTTTGATTTGATTATATCTGCGTGTAACCGGAGCTCTTCACTCCCACCTGTTCTGCGCTCTGAGTCATCAGCTGTAGGAGGACTGATGGTGATTTTAGAGAATAATCGACACGTCCTCCGTGTGAGTCTAATTCATAATTCATACTTACGGTAACTGTTTTTGCTGCTCTACTTTCCGGCTGAGCTCGTCTGAGTTGCGTTACTTTACTGCTCTTCTTCTCAGTGGTTTGACAGCAGCATTTCCATATTCTGTCATCGCCGCGTTATTATTCTCTCTCTATTGCTTCCTTTTGGGGGCAAAAGGGAATTCTGGGTAACGTGTTCTACATATGCCGTCAGAGTGTTTTCTGAATGCTGACAGGTTTTTAGAGCCAAGTATGATCTGATAATGCACATTAGATTACAGATCAACATCCACTCAACAAGCAGCGTTTGGATTTCCTTCAGGTTTACATTGCAAAAAACCACAATCCTCTCGCTTCTCAAAAACATCCCTAAACCAAACTCTGATGTTCATTTAATTGTTTGTTGTTCTCCTAACTAAACGTGATTATATGGTTAGTTGTGTTTTATTATCTGCGTTTAGGATGTTTTTCTCTCTGAAATCCAGCAGAACTGAAGCTGACAGAAAGCACTTTCTCTGGTAAGAAGCGGCAGGGTTTGAAGAGGAAAGCAGAGCAACCAAAATACAGCAATTACAGATATATGCAAAATAAATCAGGAAAGAGAGGTCAGGACGGAGAAGGTCTGCGCGGCGTAATGTTGTGTGGAGAGGAAGATCAGAATGATGCAGGACATTATCTGAGGAGTCAAACACACACTAAATCAGCTCTTCTGACTGCACACAATCGCCCACAGGTCATCGTCTCAGAGAAGAAGGCGTCTGAGATCTGCGTCGCCTCCTACAAACTACTCTCCTCGTTTCTCGTTGTTCAGAGCGATTTGCTCTCTGCATGAACCGCAGACTCATTATGTCTCTGATGTTGCTCATTAAGTTCACAACTAATTAGTGTGGTTTGGAAACACTAGATATGATGTGAAAGAGAAGATGGTAACCTTGTTGTGCTAACCTGTGAATTAAAGAAGAGTTCATCCAGAAGCAGATATTGTGTCAGACCGGTGTGGCTTTATTCAGTTGTTCTCAATCAAACCAGACAGCGGCAGAAAGCGCAGTATAACGAGTCTGTTCAGCATGTGTACTGTGTGTGTGTGTGTGTGTGTGTGTGAGAGAGAATTAGATGTTTTGTTTCCAGTCAAGACTTGAAGAAACTTGTTCATGCGTTTATCACCAGCAGGGTGGACTATTGTAATGGTCTCCTCACCGGCCTTCCCAAGAAGACCATTAGACAGCTGCAGCTCATCCAGAACGCTGCTGCCAGGATTCTGACTAGAACCAGAAAATCTGAGCATATCACACCAGTCCTCAGGTCCTTACACTGGCTTCTTATTGTTGTGATTATTTTTTATGATTATTTTCTTTTCTTTTATGTACAGCAGTTTGAATTATCATTGTGTATGAAACGTGCTATATAAATAATCTTGCCTTGCCTGTGGAGTTTGTGTATCAACATGAGGGTCGTGAATGTAGAGTTTTGGGTTCAGCTAATGCTGTACATCATTCAGAATTGAATGGAGTGTGTTATAAATTCCAATTCAATTCAAGAATGTGAATTGCCAGGAACAGGATACAAAATTACGATTTAAATGTGACTGTAAAGTAGAATTAAAATGATTTGAAGTTCTCCTGATGATTTTAACTACAAAGAAAGCTTTGAATATTGTAAGGGTTTGAGGTAGTGTTTTCAGCGAGTCCATTAGCACCGCTCCGCTGGAAGAGACGAGTGTTTCTCCAGCAGTGCTTGACTTGCTCTCGACTCACGGATCAAACATCTGCTGTGTTCCTGCAGCTAATTCTGTCCGTGTGACGCTTGCTTTGAGTCCAGGGGTTTGTGGGCAACAGTAGCGTGTTACTTTTGTCACGTATGTTGCGTGGAAAGAGCTCTTGCTCTGGAGATATTGCCGTTGTTTGGCTGAATGTAAATGCAGTGAGCGTGTCGAACACTCAATGTTTTTTTGTGGTCTTGTGCCTCTAAAGGTGTCGGATGTAGAAACCCTTTTGTGTTGCAGAAGACGTGTTCATCTCCGGTTTGCTGGAATCACACAGATCTTGAGGAGGATCGTGACTCTGATGGGTCACACACTGGGAATAATAATGTGCGGCCTTTATTACAGCTTGTTCTGTGTAGCAACAGATGCTTTAAAAGAGCGAAGAAAACGCTTCTGTGTGATTTGTTGATGATGTCCAGTCAGATTCTGCATTTCATCTGTTACTAGAAGCTAAATTAGGTGGATGTCCACGTGGACAGCGTCCCCATCTTCAATAAAACATATGGTTTCTGGGATCAAACCCTGCCGTGTTTGCATCGGTCCGGGCATAACCGTGAGTTTGAGATGGTCCGATCATAGTGTGTGAGCAAACAGATTTTTACTGCCTTTCATTTAGAAAAGAATTACAATTCTGCTTAAAGCAAGACATTACAACAGTTTTTTTTACATGCACTGGTCAACTTTGAGATTTTAGACAGTTTGGACACTTTTCACAACGTGATGTTTCAGATTAGAGTAACATTACAGTGTTTATTTTATTGCACTTTATCTGTTTGCGTCTGTAGATTTCAGTTCAGCAGCCAAACATAGTGCTCTCTATATTCTAAAGGTTTGTTCATATATCATTCACATTGATTTATGCAAAATTTTATTCCCTAAAAACATGGTGAAAATGCATAAAGAGTGAGTTTTTTCCTCCTCTTCAGCAGTACTTACACACACCAGACGTAGCAATTTTATTCAGGGTTTTGTAGAGGGGTTTGTTGATACGTCGTTCGGGCTGATTTATATAACATTTTATTCCTAAACATAGTGAAAATGTCTGTTGACAGTATTATGGAGTGAAAGAAAGAGAAATCCCCTTGAGCCTGACTTTAAGCAGTTCATATTAATGTAGTCGGTCATCTATGGGGAAGTATGGTGAGATCGATCTCGCCTTGGGTTCAGTGTCAGGAGTCTTGAGCAGCTTGGCGTTCGTCTTCATGAATCTCTGTCTGGAGTCCGAATAGAGATGAACTGATCCGGTGTTTCTGTTCTGACAGAAGTGTGTGTTGTTAATCCAGAACTCTGCCAAACAGTTGTGTGTGTGTGTGTGTTTCCATAAGACCTGAGGGGAAAAAAAGCATTTGAGCAAGCAATGGCCTTCGGGGGTTGCACTGAATGAAATGCTTTTTTTTCCCAATCCCCACCTCACTCAAGAAGCGTTCACTCGTTCGTTCGTTCGTTTGTTTTTTCAGCCTTTATTTTCTCTCTCTTCTTTCTTTCCCCTTCTTGCTTTGAGTTGATCTTTGACATCCGAGCGTGCCCCGGGATGTCTGTCACAAACTGCAGTCCAACCTTGTGACAATGCTTGCTTTCTTCCCGTGCCTTTTTATGACCTTCTTCTTTTTTCATTTCTTTCTTTTGTTTCTGTTCTTTCCTTCAAGGTCTGGCGCACCTGACGTTAAACAGCCAAGGTATGGTTCATTCCGTTTTCCATTCTTTTATTTAGTGAGGAATCAGATCTGTCCGTCTCTCTCCCTCCAAACACTGTCCCTCCTCCCCATCGTACTGTGTTGCTGTATTTCCACGCTGTGCGTCCTGAAGACTGACCTCTGACCTCTGACCTCCCGGACACAGGTAACGCTCTTCTGCTCTCGATGCTGGGGTTGAAATGCTGCTGTCTAATGTCACTCACAGATGAAGGGTGTGTTTGTGTTCAGAATGCACAGAGTCTCATTCTGTGGTCATTCTCATTGTTTGGCAATCACTCACGCTGTTAATTACGTTCAGTTAGCCTCAGATCTGCTCTGACTGAATGCACAAATGTTTGTTTCAATGATTTTTCTGATGCAATGTGTCTGTTTTATATCTCTGTGTTGAGAAGCACTCAATACTGCATTTTAACATTTTACAGTGAACTAACTAAAATCATCATTCTCTCATTATTTACTCGCCCTCACATCAAACCTGTGTGACTTTCTTTTGCAAAACACAAAATATGTTTTAAAGAACGTTTCAGTGTTTTCGTCAGTACGATGGACATCAATGGCGTTGTTTGGTTCCCAAAGTTCTTAAAAATATCTTCTTTTCAGAAATTGGCGCAGGTTTGGATGACATGAGCAGAGTAAATGACGACAGAATGATCGTTTTTGAGTGAACTATCCCTTTCTGGTGCTATTTAATGATAGTTAGAGCCCCATAATGTTGGTGATCTCAGGTGTTTCTGTCATTCACACACACACACACACACACACACACACACAGATAGCCCAGTTCGCAGGTTTGGATGACATGAGCAGAGTAAATGACGACAGAATGATCGTTTTTGAGTGAACTATCCCTTTCTGGTGCTATTTAATGATAGTTAGAGCCCCATAATGTTGGTGATCTCAGGTGTTTCTGTCATTCACACACACACACACACACACACACACAGATAGCCCAGTTCTTCTGTAGATGATGTGTTGAGGTCTCTGACAGCTGATTATCCAGCACACTGTTAAAGGCCTGTATGTTTGAGCTCAGCTGGTTTCATTGGTTTGAAGCTCAAAGACTTTTGTTATTTGACTAATCTGACTCTCGTTTCCCTCAGTTGTCAGTTTAGAGTTGGTCAGTGGGTATAAAGCAGCAGAAGTGAGCAGTGAGCAGTGTCCTCCGTGTTCCTGCTTTACTTTGATCCTCAGCTCTGTTTGACAGGACTCGTTTTCCCTGGAGATTCATTTGTTTCACAGATTTAATCCAGTCCGAATCCATCTCTCAGAGAGCTGGTAAAATGCAGAAAGCAAATCTCCTCTGGGAAAGGAATGTCTGTGACTGCTGTTTATTTATTTATTTTGTACAGTGATTCAACAGATGGCTTTGACTTTTATAACTAAAGCTGCGTTTGTTGTTAGGTGGTTAGCTGCACTTTGATTATTGATTTAGAGCGGATTCCTGGTGCTGCTGGCGTCACGTCTGACCTAGAACAGAAATGACAAACAGAGCTCAATAATCACAGTGTCAGATGCGATCCTCCTTCCCATTATTAGAGATCCACTGTTATTGATTTCTTAGAACTGATACCGATTATTGACCGATATGCAAAACCAATATTTATTTATTGTTTTACTTCTTTCTTTCAGCATTCCAGTAACTCTAATATTAGCAATACACAAAATAGATTTACAAAGTCAAATGTTTTAAATAGTGAGCATAAAGCACAGGGGAGTTGATTGATTCTGCATAAATGCAGTCAACTACAGTTTGAAAATGTTCAGCGTCTGAGTATGAAACTACAGTATGGGTTGTTTAATAGGCTAAAATGTGAAGCCAGCTACTTCGCTGGAGTAAGTATACACTGTGAGAAAATTAACAAACAAAACAGCAAATACAGAGTTGATCTTAACTGGCATGTTATCAGGGTTACTGATAGTATTTTTGTCTGCAATACTGCTTATGAAATGCCTGCCGACAAAGCACTGATTTTATGCGTTTACACAGAACTTACACTCAAATCGTGATCTCTCATGGAGATCATTTCCACAGAGCTGTAATCACTTGTGTGTTTGTTAACGAAATAAAGCTTATATAGTAAACGTTAATGTAATTTAGGCCGTTTTGAGCGAGTGGATCTTGTTCCTGGTGATGCTGGAAAATACTGTAACCGCATTTTATAATGAGTTAACTGTTCTCTTAAAATTACGCTTTAACGCTTTGCTTTGAATGCACATGTAGACCTGCACAAGTACAAAAGAGAAAAGTTGGCAAAAATAAAGTGGAAAGTCAGTCAAATTTTGTTGAAAAAATTCCAAAGCTTACAGCACATTTTAACAGATCATGGCGAAGGTATAGGTCATATGCTAGCAGTAGCTAGACACAGTAGGCTATGATTCATCAAATAATTGACTCCTTTTTCATCTTAACATAGTTGAGCTTGCAGTAGTTACCACACACTACAGCTGTGGAATATAATCATTTTATGACGCATCACGATGCTGATCTGGACGATTCTGCATAAATGTAATTAAATAGTCATATCATACAATGTACTGTTAATGTACTGTTTTATTGTAAGAAAGTACTCTTGTTTTAGGCTATTGATAATGAAATGTTGCGTATGCCTTTAGAAGCAACGCACTTTATAGCATCTTTTGTTTCCAGATAATTTTACTTCTACCAGATAATGAACTTCTTTAAAGCAAGATATTTGGGCACATGTTTATGGTTTTTACGAAAAGAACATGAATGAATGAGAAAAATAATGTGGGACGTGCTTGATGTTAAAACTAGTTTTTAAGGGCAAAACGATCGCAAAGCGTTACTCAGTTGAAGCGCGTGCACAGAAAGCTGCCTCTCAGACTGCATGCAACACTGAATTACTTCAACATCCATCTGTCTTCGTGAGTATTCGCTTAAACATAGACGGGCATGTCTTCAGTGAACGTAAACAGTTGTGGTTCATGATTTATAATATATGATACAATACACCTCAAACAATGAAAGAAAAGAGGGAAATACTGCTCTTGATTAAATAACTTTTGTAGCTTTAATTAAAATGTATTTGCAATTAATGCACTAAAGACTATGCAATGGTTATACTTGCATTTGATTATACGATTTCTGTATTATTTCTTAATTTAATGTTTCTGCAAAAAAGATGTAAAATGAAAAAGGAAATGTAAAGCACTTGTTATTTTTTTTAAATAGTCCTATATTGTATTTGCTCTACTGTTTTTTAGATACCGATTATTGACCGATATGCAAAACCAATATTTATTTATTGTTTTACTTCTTTCTTTCAGCATTCCAGTAACTCTAATATTAGCAATACACAAAATAGATTTACAAAGTCAAATGTTTTAAATAGTGAGCATAAAGCACAGGGGAGTTGATTGATTCTGCATAAATGCAGTCAACTACAGTTTGAAAATGTTCAGCGTCTGAGTATGAAACTACAGTATGGGTTGTTTAATAGGCTAAAATGTGAAGCCAGCTACTTCGCTGGAGTAAGTATACACTGTGAGAAAATTAACAAACAAAACAGCAAATACAGAGTTGATCTTAACTGGCATGTTATCAGGGTTACTGATAGTATTTTTGTCTGCAATACTGCTTATGAAATGCCTGCCGACAAAGCACTGATTTTATGCGTTTACACAGAACTTACACTCAAATCGTGATCTCTCATGGAGATCATTTCCACAGAGCTGTAATCACTTGTGTGTTTGTTAACGAAATAAAGCTTATATAGTAAACGTTAATGTAATTTAGGCCGTTTTGAGCGAGTGGATCTTGTTCCTGGTGATGCTGGAAAATACTGTAACCGCATTTTATAATGAGTTAACTGTTCTCTTAAAATTACGCTTTAACGCTTTGCTTTGAATGCACATGTAGACCTGCACAAGTACAAAAGAGAAAAGTTGGCAAAAATAAAGTGGAAAGTCAGTCAAATTTTGTTGAAAAAATTCCAAAGCTTACAGCACATTTTAACAGATCATGGCGAAGGTATAGGTCATATGCTAGCAGTAGCTAGACACAGTAGGCTATGATTCATCAAATAATTGACTCCTTTTTCATCTTAACATAGTTGAGCTTGCAGTAGTTACCACACACTACAGCTGTGGAATATAATCATTTTATGACGCATCACGATGCTGATCTGGACGATTCTGCATAAATGTAATTAAATAGTCATATCATACAATGTACTGTTAATGTACTGTTTTATTGTAAGAAAGTACTCTTGTTTTAGGCTATTGATAATGAAATGTTGCGTATGCCTTTAGAAGCAACGCACTTTATAGCATCTTTTGTTTCCAGATAATTTTACTTCTACCAGATAATGAACTTCTTTAAAGCAAGATATTTGGGCACATGTTTATGGTTTTTACGAAAAGAACATGAATGAATGAGAAAAATAATGTGGGACGTGCTTGATGTTAAAACTAGTTTTTAAGGGCAAAACGATCGCAAAGCGTTACTCAGTTGAAGCGCGTGCACAGAAAGCTGCCTCTCAGACTGCATGCAACACTGAATTACTTCAACATCCATCTGTCTTCGTGAGTATTCGCTTAAACATAGACGGGCATGTCTTCAGTGAACGTAAACAGTTGTGGTTCATGATTTATAATATATGATACAATACACCTCAAACAATGAAAGAAAAGAGGGAAATACTGCTCTTGATTAAATAACTTTTGTAGCTTTAATTAAAATGTATTTGCAATTAATGCACTAAAGACTATGCAATGGTTATACTTGCATTTGATTATACGATTTCTGTATTATTTCTTAATTTAATGTTTCTGCAAAAAAGATGTAAAATGAAAAAGGAAATGTAAAGCACTGTTGTTATTTTTTTAAAATAGTCCTATATTGTATTTGCTCTACTGTTTTTTATTTTTATTTGCATCTTTGTTTTTATTTTTAATAACAAAGGTAAAAAAGAGAGCTTTATTGTGATTATTACTATGGCAATTATTATTAATTAAAGAAT